GGTTCTTCACTTATTGACTCGTGTCATCTACTAATGTTCTGTGACTTTTTTTGTATGGGCGGACAAAGGCCTTTTATTCATGCTATATATCCCTTTCTTGTTTTTGTGGTTTGGTGAAAGAAGATTTTGTTCAATTGGTATTGGTTGTGTATTGTTAGTTGAAACCAGACCACTCCCCATTCCAAACATACTTACAAATGAGGTGGAGCAAAAACAAAATCTTATCTTCAATTTCCTATCAAATGGAACACACCCTTTCCTTACACAAAATGTCCTAACATATAATGTTTTATTCAAATATATTAAATTTATTTGATTCTTAAATTTCAATCCAAATACAAATTAAATTATTTTCTTGACATCAAATTTTAATTAAACCGTAAAAGATTAAATGTGGTAATTTCATTTGTTTTTCTAACTTGTATTGAGTTGTTGTCTTTTTGTTTTATTATAATTATATTAGTAATAATCATACATTACAAATAAAAAAAGGTTTCGCAACAAATTTTTACCAGAAATAGAAAAAATATTTATGATAATATATGTTTATTTTTACTCATTTTTTCTATCTTTTACCTATTTTAATAAATCTCAGTTTTCTTCTTTTATTATTTTCTCTCGTTCGCTTTTTACCATATCATCCAAATACATTATAAAAGCACAAATAAGGAGTAAACAAAAAAAACTTTGGAATTTTACTATATAGAAATTGTCACGACACACTTGTTTCCTTCTTAAGTATAATTAAATAATGACTTAATATCAATTTTTATTCCAATTTTTGTCAACTTTTTTCGAAATGGTCATAATTTTTTGTTCTAATGTTGTCCTAAATAATGTAATTTATGTTCAATTTAGTCCTTTTTGTAGATGGCGTTTAAATCGTTAACGGCGCATTGTCCAATGCAATAAATGACACATCATCCTTGACACGTCATCATCATCTCCTACCTCTAGAAGCCCTAATTTCCCCTGCACATAAACCTTAGCCACCACCTAACCCTAATTGCCGGCACCAAGGTCACGACCAACCACCATCTTCGCACCTCCATCATCTTCTTCGTCCAACAATCACCCAAAAACACCACTCATAGCCACCTACCAGCACCTTCATTGGCGTCACCTGTGCATCCAACAACAACCACCACGGAACCCATTATCGCAAATCAAATGAACCCAACACGAAAAAACAAATTCATGGAAAAACAGAGAAGAACCTTCATCCTCTCCAGAGAAGAACCCTCATTCCAAGTTCAGAAACCCTAACATTCCCAATCTGAACCCTCATTCCCCACTTCGAAAAAACCAAAACACAAAACTGAAAGGAAGAACAAAATCCCTAACCACTCACAAAAAAAAGAAGAACCAAGAATTCCCCAAATCAATTTTGAAACGAAAATTATATATTCTAATTTACAAAAACCAGATAACACAACAAAAACCCCTAAATCGAAACCCTCAATCGCGAGTCCTATTGCCACGAAACCGCCTGAGAACAGTGGGCTTCTCGCATCGCGAATACATCGGAGATCAAACCTTCGCGGAGGTGCCGCCGTTGCAACCCTCACCGTGCCGCGAGAAAGGAGTTCGCTCTCGTTTCTGCAAAACTCTGACAAACCCACTATGGTCAATTGGACCATCGCAAGCTTCATTTTTTCTCTGGCGGTGCAGGCGTAAGGAAGCCTTTCCTCCTTACATTCAGAAACCCTAATTTTTTGGGTGGAAAAGGGGCTACCACGTGGCAAGCAGGTCAGCAGTTAAATGACATGACATTCACTTATTACACAGCTGGACAGTGTGCAGCTAATGATTTAAAGGTCGTCTGCAAAAAGGAATAAATTGAACATAAATTACATTCTTTAGGACAATATTGAACAGAGAAAAAAAATAGGACCATTTTGAATAAAGCTGACAAAATTTGAGACCAAAATTAGTATTAATCTTTAAATAATTGTTAAACACAATTCAGTTTTTTTTAGTTGATGATATGAAGTATTTCAGCTTGTAATGGCAAATAACCCATATTAATGAATATCAAACTCCAGTCGATTTTGATAAGGAATATTTGTTTATTATGTGTTTTTCTCCAAATCAATTGGAACTTAAGTAAAATAAAATGGGAGAAAAAAAAAGCTTTTGGAAACAAAAATTCATTCAGTGTTTTATTTGGGAAAAATAGTAGAGTTTGTGTCTTCATTCATTTTATATCGTCTCATGCTTTTATTTTTAGAAAAACATGGAAGAGTTGTACTTGTCTTTTTTGAGCAAATTCATTTGATTTAAGAAAAACATGGGAATTTGAGAATATTTGTTAAGTTAGAAGGAATAATTGAGTATTAAGAAATAGTTACAAAATACCGTATTATACAAATGATAACATAGTTAATTTAACATTTGTCTCTATTTTAATTTAAATGGATTTGTGTATTATTTAAGTTATATTTCAACTATACTAGTGTGATATAAGACTTTTTATTTAGAGTCTATAATATAAAAAATGTTAGAAATTCAAGTGTGAATTAGTTTTATATTGGATAGAAACAAGAAACTAAAACACTATATAAAGGTAAAAAAACTTATTAATCTATTGCCTTATTGATAGAAAGTAATGTCAATTTCTTATATAATTGAGTTTCAATATTATTGATCTTTTTATTTTTATGGTGAACTTACTCGAAATTCGAAAAGCTTTGAAATAAACAAGTAACAAGTTTTTCAAATTGAAATCTTTATTTTGAAAAATATCATAAAAAATGTTTTAACTTATTCGATTTTTGTGTTAATTGATAAATGTTTTTTCAAAAAACTAATCAAACATTTGAAACTAACATTCAATAAGTTTCAAAGTTAATTTACTAACAACTTTTCAACTGTATCTCGTAATTTTAAGTGTATTAAGGAATAACTTTTCAACTGTATTTCTTAATTTTAATAATTCTTTTTACACCATACAACATTTAAGTCCATTTTAGATTATGCAAACGAGTCTTATAGATGGTATAATGTTATTACTAAATTTAATAAGAAAATTATATATGTTCTAACCATATCATATAATATTATCACGGATTTATTATTTATTTTTTATTATTTATTTATTATTATAGTGATGTATTCTAAATTTAATAAGAAAATTATGTGTGGTGTGTTAAAATATATAAAAAAATTCATGCTAACGTATTATTGCCCATAAATAATACAGCAAAGTGCTTAAAAAATAAAAATTGCAAGGAAGCACATTAAGTTTGAATTTATCCAATAATTTTCTTTTAAAGTTACTTTTTTTTGGTACAAATTCTCTTAAAGAATCAAAGATCTTGTATCATATATGACATGACCCAGTTGAATAATGTTAATTCAGTCTCATATTTTAAAAGTGTTTGAAATGTGTCCTGACTTATTAAATTTTGCATCAAATTCGTCCCTTCCGTTAAATATAACCAAACGGAGTTAATGGATGATGATCTGGCAACAATTAGTGCTAACGTGTCATTATTTAGTTGTGTGTGTGCTGACGTGTTATTTAATTCCTTTTGCCATGTCAGCTTTGCCTTCTCCACAGAAACCCTAATTTTCACCTAGACACAAACCCTTGTGATGTCACGTGAACCCTAGTCGCTGCCGCTGCCCAACCAACCTTACCTCTGCATCGCAACCGTGAAGCTGTCGTGAGGACACCATCAACGCCACCACCAACCCTGTTCGTCTTCACCCTAGCCGCCACCACAGGTTCATCTTCTCGTGCAACCTTCCACCATGCCAGAAACCTCCATGGAAAACTCAAACGCGCCTCCCTTGCAGCAACCTAACCCTGCAATACTAAACCACGAAACAACACCAAGCTTCATCTTCAACCCCAAATCGCGATGCTCCGCAATCACCATCAAAGTCGCAAGCCTCCACCTTCTTTCTAACCAATCCCGATACCTGAAAACAGAAAAAAAAAACCTAGAAGCCATCGCGCAACCATGGCAACTTCTCAACCATCCCTCTGCCAACCAGCCCCAATCGCGGAAAAAACCCCAATAGCAACTCCACAAGATTCGCTCCAGCATTCATCTTCTTCATCACGAATCTGGAAATTCAGAGAACGCATAAACCCTTAAGTAACCGCAAGCCTCCGCTGCGTGAGCGTCTTCTCATCCATGCCTCACAATATCCATGTCGCGCTTCCATGACCACCACCGCAAGAATCCTCCACTATTCATTTGAGTCAAAGCTGATCTAACGCGTTAGCATGCACACAACTAAATAATGACAAGTTACCATTAATTGGTGCCAGATCATCACCCTATTAACTTTGTTTGGTTATATTTAACGAAAGGGACGAATTTGACACAAAATTTAGTAAATGAGAATACATTTCAAACACTTTTAAAACATGGGACTAAATTGATATCATTCAACAAAACTGAGGACAAAATATGCTATTAAACTTTAACTTAATAAACAAGTTTAAAAAAATAATTAACAAATCAAACTCCAATCACTGAACTCATTGATACCTCAACCTAAATGACATATGTTACGGGATTAATTTTGTCTCTTCACATTTATAAGTATTTTTGAGTTTTTCTTTTTTCTTTGAAAAAAATATTTAAACTTCACAACTCGATTTATTCAAGTAAGTATAATAATTAGTTTGGTAATGTGATGATTATATATGTTAAAAAATAAACTTTAACATCTTCCTAAGTATATATATTTCGAACTCTCATACAATTTATTTATAAAGTAATATTTACATTCACTTATATGCTTAAAATTAAGCTATATACAACAAATAATAAATATCATTAACTCTAACTATTTTTTAAATTATCTCTTAACTTTAAGCTTAACTTATTTTTACGTACTTATATTATATTATATTATAATAAAGGCGAGAGAGACTTTCGAAAATATTAAAATATTCAAAAGATTCTTAAAAGAAATTGATTATAAATAACCTCTGCCCTGCTGATGGATATATTGTTTACTCGTTTGTTAAAATATTTAAATCGGCACATTTTGCTAAACTTGAAAAGTGCAGAAAATTTTGGAATCTGTATTCTTCGAAAAAAACACGAGATTGTGTATTTTAGAGAGCTAAAAAGCGCGTTTGAAGAGAACGAAGAAGAAGCGTCAGCATGCTGTGCTTCTGCTTCTATCTTTCGGACTGAGATTAGCGAATTCACGGTTGGTAACTCTGTTCAGTTTTCACTAATTTTCTTCCATTCTCCGTGTCTTCAATTTTTCACTCGATCCTATTATGTTCTCTTGTTTCATCTTTTACCAATGCTTATTTCGAGGGTTTCACAGATTCGGAACCTTTTATGTTCCTTCAAATAAAAAAGCATATATCTAGAGGTTAGTAATTGAGCGAGATATTGCAGTTGAGCATTTACAAAATGTTAGGTTTAGAATTTAGGGCCTTAAATTCGTATCAAGATTAGGTTGAAATGAAAAGCCCTATCACTGATTGTAGTTAATTTATGTTTTATTTTAATTTTTTGGTTGATTAAGAGGTGCAATCACTTGGTATAGGAGGCCTATGTTAGATGGAAGACACCTCTCTCTGCTGTGAACAATTGCCGGATGGGGAATGCATTGAGGTTCAGAAAGACGAAGATGGCGCGCTGATTGAATTGGATTGTCAGAATGGTTTTCCTGAGGGGAGAAAGGAATTTGTTGCACCTGCTGTTGGAATGGAGTTTGAGTCATACGATGATGCTTACAATTATTATATTTGCTATGCCAAGGAGGTGGGGTTTCGTGTACGGGTGAAGAATTCGTGGTTCAAGCGGAATAGCAGAGAGAAGTATGGTGCAGTGCTTTGCTGTAGCAGCCAGGGTTTCAAGAGAATAAAGGATGTGAATCATTTGAGGAAGGAGACGAGAACTGGTTGTCCTGCAATGATAAGGATGAGATTGGTGGAGTCACAGAGATGGCGGGTGCTTGAAGTTATGCTTGAACATAACCACATGTTGGGTGCTAAGATACAGAGGTTGGTTAAGAAGATAGGAACTGGGTTGAAGAGGAAGTCGTTGCCTAGCTCTGATGCCGAGGGGCAGACGATTAAGTTATATCGTGCACTTGTGATTGACGCGGGAGGTGATGGAATTTCAAACTCCATTGCTAGAGAAGACAGAAGTTTCTGTGAGTTTTCTAATAAGATGAACCTTAGAAAAGGTGACTCACAGGCCATTTATAATTTCCTCTGCCGAATGCAATTGACTAATCCAAATTTCTTTTACTTGATGGATTTCAATGACGAAGGGCACTTGAGGAATGCATTTTGGGTTGATGCTAGGTCCAGGGCTGCGTGTGGTTATTTTGCCGATGTTATTTATTTTGACAACAGTTACTTGTCAAACAAATATGAAATCCAGTTGGTGACTTTTGTTGGAATAAATCACCATGGTCATTCGGTGTTATTAGGATGTGGTCTCCTTGCAAGTGAAACAACAGAGTCTTATATATGGTTGTTTAGGACATGGGTTAAATGTATGGCGGGATGTTCTCCCCAAACTATTATTACTGACAGGTGCAAGGCTTTGCAGAGAGCAATTGTAGAAGTTTTTCCTAGATGTCGTCATTGTTTTGGCTTGTCATTAATTATGAAAAAGATACCAGAAAAATTGGGAGGTTTGCACAACTATGATGCACTCAGGAAAGCACTGATTAAAGCAGTTTATGAAACATTGAAAGTGATTGAGTTTGAAGCAGCATGGGGATTTATGATTCAACATTTTGGAGTTAGTGATCATGAGTGGCTTCGTTCTCTGTATGAAGATCGAGTTCATTGGGCTCCAGTATTTTTGAAGGACACTTTTTTTGCTGGAATGTCTGCAGCTCGCCCTGGTGAGAACATTACTCCTTTTTTTGATAGATACGTGCACAAACAGACTCCGCTGAAGGAGTTTCTTGATAAGTATGAATTAGCTCTTCACAAGAAGTACAAAGAAGAGTCTTTTGCAGATATTCAATCAAGGAGCTCAAGCCCCTTGCTGAAAACTAGATGTTCCTTTGAATTGCAGCTCTCCAGATTGTACACTAGAGAAATGTTCATGAAATTCCAGTTAGAAGTGGAAGAAGTATATTCTTGTTTTGGTACAACACAGTTACATGTGGATGGTCCCATCATAATTTTCTTGGTCAAGGAGCGTGTTTTGATTGAGGGAAACCGACGGGAGATACGGGATTTTGAAGTTTTGTACAGTAGGACCGTAGGTGAAGTTCGTTGCATCTGTAGTTGCTTTAATTTTTATGGATATCTTTGTCGGCATGCACTGTGTGTGCTCAATTTTAATGGGGTTGAAGAGATACCTCACAGATACATTCTTTCGCGATGGAAGAAAGATTACAAGCGTCTTTATGTTCCTGATCACAGCTCTGGTACCGCTGATGATACTGACCGCATTCAATGGTCTAATCGGTTATTTAGAAGTGCCTTGCAAGTTGTTGAGGAGGGTATACTTTCTCTAGATCATTACAATGTAGCGTTACAATCTTTAGAAGAATCATTGAGTAAGGTTCATGATGTAGAGCAGAGACAAGAGTGACCGGCTTTCATGTACGCTAAAAAAATTACTGTTAGTGTTGTTACTTTGTATAACTGCTTAGCGCTGTTTAACTGTGATATTTTTACAATGTCCATAACTTGTATAGCTAAAGATGTTTTTGAGTTAAACCATAGGTAGTTTCTCTCATGTTATTTATTTACGTGGTAGTGGTACTGCTTGCTTCGGTAGTTGATTGAATAATTGACATTCTGTTTCCTAAGTCCTTTTTCTTCTAATTTGCTGTAAGTTAAATATGTTCAATACATTAATTAGAACTTGATGGACTTAGGAAATTACAAAGTAGTTTTTTTTTTCATAGTTATGGTTTACCAATGTTACAAAGTTGTGTTTTAAATTTGGTTCGACCGAAACCCAGTAAAATCTAACAGAAGATTATTTCTGTTAAAGACTGAATTCGAAAAACCTTAACTATTCAAACTTGTTAGCAATTGGGAATTATGAACATTTGCTCTTGTAGAAAGAGAAACCTTTGGAGAATCCCTGTTTTATTTATTTTCGCTCGATAGTCACCTTTTTCCTTTTCTTCATATTTATGGGATCTTTTATTAAGTTCTGCTCTTTCTTAGTTTCTACAACATATATACTTGTCAATGTTAATTTTAGGCTTAATTACCTACTTAGTCCCCATGTTCGGAGGTAATTTGCTGTTTAGTACCCGGTTTTAAAAATGTAGGCATTTGATACCTATGTTTTGAAATTTGTATCAATTGAATCCTACCCACTTAACGCCGTTATAATTGATAACGTTTTTCTGACTGTGTATGTGATTTGTGCAATCGTGGCAATGAGGTGGCTTAAGTGACTTGACGTGGCAGGCTTCCTCCAAGACTGAACTCTCCCGTAAGCTCACTCCCTCAGCTCACCCTTTCTCCGGAGACCCAAGGTCTCTTACTCTCTCCGCAGGCTCACCGCCGCGTCTGTCTAATTGGCCGCCGCGACCCAGCCTCTGTTCCAGTCCACACCACTGCTTCCTCCTCCGTGGCGTCGCGCACCGCCAGAGCCCGTGTCGGCCCAAGCTCCAATCAGCTCCTTCTCTTCTCCACCTCTTCGCGTGCGAGAGAGGGACTCTCACCCCTCCGTGCCATGCCGACACCACCCCCAGTGAGGCCAACCACCGCAAGCCGCCACGACATCACTCTCCTCCTTCCGATATTCTTCTTTTTTCTTTTTTAATTACTGATTGGTTTAGGATTTGGTTTATTCATTCTCTGTTTTCCTACCTGGATGCTTCTGTTTACTTGGATGCTTCTGTTAACGATTTTGAAGGTTTCTGGGTGCTGATTAGATTATGAGAAAATGATGATTAGAGTTGAGAAACGGATTCATGGGGAAGGCGAATAGGATATGAGGATTGGAAGTGGGGAAAAAGGTGATTGGAAGTAGCCGTGAGTGTCAAAATCTGGATAGTGAAAGGGGCATGCGAATGGGGCATCAATGGTGATTTTGAGGGATGATAGGTGTAGTGGAGGGTTATGTTTGTTGAGGCTGTTACGGGTGAGCACAGTGTGGAGAATCCAAACGGATGATAGCGACTGGCGGGGGAAAGGAACGAAGGTTGGGAACGGATCCGGTGGTATTTGGGGTTTGCCGACGACGCAAGAGGTGGTGGCACGGGTGGCTGGGTCGACGGTGAAAAGAGAAGGAGAGAGACCAGAAGCAACTTGCGGCGGTCTGCTTGGAGGAGGCGGCGACCAGAACTGCTCCGACGGGCGTGAACGACATCGCCGGCAGTGGTCCTGGTGGTGCTTAGCGTCGCCGGCGGCTGGGACGTGGGTGGTGGGTAGTTAGGGTTAATTTAAAAAAATGTAACCCCATTTCAAATTCCCAATTCAGCCTGCCACGTCATTGCCACGACGCAATTGATTGCACAAATCACATACACAGTCAGAAAAACGTTATCAATTATAACGGTGTTAAGTGGGTAGGATTCAATTGATACAAATTTCAAAACATAGGTATCAAATGCCTACATTTTTAAAACCGGGTACTAAACAGCAAATTACCTCCGAACATGGAGACTAAGTAGGTAATTAAGCCTTAATTTTATTATGTTGGGTTGCAACTCTCAACATATATTTGTGTATATATTGCATCAACCTGGAATTGAAATGTTTTTATATTAATTAAGATGTTAAATTAAAATCAGAATAACTTTTATCATATCACCTATTTTAACACATTAATTTATTATTTTTATTTTTGTTGTAAGAAAACATTTATTATTTAAAAAAATTAAAACAATGAAAGATTCTCCTCTTTTCAATTTAATCCCAATGGGGGAGTTTATTTCAGTTTTCATATCTGAAGTAGATTTCCTTTCACCTTTTTCTTTTCGAGTAAAAATGTAATATTTTTATTTTATTTTCTTCTATTATATCTTCACTTGTTCAAACAGAAGGCAACAAAATAGTATAAATTATTTGTGAAAAGCGTAAAATAATTTTTTCTTACTATCAGTCCACGTAGTATGTAGAATATGCACACTTTTTATTTTGTGTTGCCAAGTGTTTTTTTTTTGTCATGTGTTATTTGGTAGAGTGATCTAAATATTTTTGTAACAAAATGACAAATATAAAAATGAACATAACTTTATGAAGAAGAAAAAATTAAACATTTATTATTTCATTTTGTATTTTCTGCTTTTAATAAATAGAAAAAATCACTTTTTAATAATTAAATTATCCTAAAAATAAAGGTTGTTAAGTGGTTAATGGAATCTCAAGGAATCATTTCTTAAATTAAAATAAGAGAAATCCAAACATCAATGATTTCATGCAGTAGTGAGTTGCAATGAATATTTCATAAAAATAAGAAAAATAACATTTTTTTTTTGCAATAGATGCTTATAGAATTTGCAAAAAATAATAATCTATGTTAGTAAAAATGAGAAAAAGAAAATAGATAACAGAAGGAAGAACGCAGTTGGCAGTGAAGAGAAGAGAGCAGAGAAACAGCATTTCGTTCACTGCCACTCTCTCTTTTCTTCTCTTATCTTCTCTGTTACTGTGAGTTTCTATCACTTTCATCGCAACCTAACTTTTACGATTCTCTTTCTCCGCTGCAACCATCTTTTTTTTTTCACCATACTTTCAATCTTTATCTGATTTCCGCCGCTATAGCTTTTGTTTCATTCAATTTTGTTGATTCGTGTGCACAAACCGCATTTTCGCAAACCTAATCGGAATCCCATTTGGTCAATTACTTGATTATGCGAAAAATCCAAATTTCACATACCGTAAATTGTCTGTGTCTATTGCTAAAAGTCTTTCTTCTAGCAATGATGGAATTAATGAATATGTAGACAATCAATTTCTGTGAGGGATTTGTTTTTTCGTATCCACACTTGTTTTTCTGCATTCCAAATTCATATGTAAATGTGATGATCAAGTGTTCGTTTAACCGTTTTTGTTTTTAACTTTTTGACTAACTCGGGAATTTTTATTTCTAGTTTTTTTTTTTTTATAAAACTGAGACTCATAATGTTGTGAATAAGTTTGGATTAAATGGAATTACTTGAAATTTGAGCTTATGGGCATGGCAAGGCTAACTGACATCTCATACTTGACAGAACTCATGTAAACTCTCTGGCTATGACTGACGATACCATGTGTTCTCCAAGCGACAAGGACTTGTCGCTGAGTCCTAATCTTGATATCACGGTAAAGTTTTGTCTTTGACTTCATGCTCTGTCTTCTGTTGTGCTTTCTGTGAAATCTAAAACTTTTAAGAGCAAGTGTGTTCGGCTCAATTGGTGACTTTTTTGGTTTCTAACTATCATACTGCGGTAGGTCTTGAAGAACCTTAGGCTCTTGATCATTCTTGTATTGATACTCCTGTTAATGCTTGTTAAATGCGTTCAAAGGGGTTGTCCCAGTTTTGAGAAAAAGGAACAATGTCATTGGACTGGTGATTTTTTGGCAATTCTGCATTCATATGAATTTCTTGTGAGTTAAATGAGGGAAGAAGTGTATCGATTGTCTCATTGGTGAAGCTTAAATACTTCTTAATTTGTGAAGTATTGGTGTTCTATTCATATCTGATGCCACCAATATATGACCCATATTTCATATGCATATAATCTGCCTAGATACTTACCTAGTGAGGACTCTCCTCTTTTCCTTTGTAGTTTTTATGACCATTACTTGCCGTAGCTAGTTATACTATAAAATGCAATGCCTTTTTTTAATTAAAACAACTGTTTTTGAATATAAAATACAGCAAGTCTCGTTATAAATATTGTGCATGTATGTCAACAAGAAATTATTAATATCTCATCACAAATATCATTCATAGCCCTATACCTGTTGCATAATAAATTATTGGTGGTCCTCTTCAAATACAAGATAATGATGGAGAGACTTTAGTTTTCCTCTTAGTGGATTATAAATCATTGAAACTAAGATAGATATCTAATGCATTTTTTTATATTGCTTAAGGTCTGGGCGATGAATTTTTGTGGAAGAACTGGTAGAGTTATTGCTTCAAGTATATAATTACAATGTATGGTGAGAGGGGTAGATAAATAAAGGATAATGATTTTGTCTGAACAAATAAAAGAAACCTCATATCAGTTATCAATATAAAAACTTCAAGTTAGGAAACTAACAAGATCATTTGGTGGTCAAATATATTTCAACTTCCCTGTAAAACTTTACTGCTTGCTCAAATTTCTTATTTTGATTTTGAAATATTTTTTCACCTTTTCCAGATAGATGATGGCTCTCCGAACAGTGAACAACTTCTTGACATAGTTGATGAGGGCAACGAGCTTGACAATGAATGTGGACAATTGTTTGAGATTGATGGAAATGGAAGTGAAAATGGGAGGGATGAAACCACAGTAGTTGATAGTCACAGTGGAGAATCTCATGGGAAAGACTGCCCCCCACCAGTTGTGGGAATGGAGTTTGACACCTATGATGATGCCTACAACTATTACAATACCTATGCCAAGGAAATTGGATTTGCTACTCGAGTTAAATCTTCTTGGACGAAACGTAACAGCAAAGAGAAGCGTGGTGCGGTTCTGTGCTGCAACTGTGAGGGTTTCAAAACAACCAAAGAAGCAAATAGTCACAGGAAAGAAACAAGAACGGGCTGTCTAGCAATGATTAGATTGAGATTAGTGGAATCTAACAGGTGGAGAGTCGATGAAGTCAAGCTTGAGCATAACCATTCATTTGATCCTGAAAGAGCACAAAACTCTAAATCACATAAGAGGATGGACAGTAGGGCAAAAAGAAAAGTTGAGCCAACTCTAGACGTTGAAGTAAGAACAATCAAGTTATATCGAATGCCTGTTGCAGATGCATCAGGTTATGGAAGCTCAAATTCCACTGAAGGTGCAACTAACAACCACATTAATTGTTCCAAGCGTTTGAAACTTAAAAAAGGTGATCCGGAGCTGATTTCAAATTACTTCTGCCGCATTCAATTGACTAATCCTAACTTTTTCTATGTCATGGATCTGAATGATGATGGACAACTGAGGAATGTATTTTGGATTGACTCTAGATCTAGGGCTGCTTATAGTTATTTTGGTGATGTGGTTGCATTTGACTCAACGTGTTTGTCAAACAATTATGAGATTCCTCTTGTTGCATTTGTTGGTGTTAATCACCATGGCAAATCTATTTTGCTAGGATGTGGTCTGCTTGCAGATGAGACATTTGAAACATATATTTGGTTATTTAGGGCATGGCTCACATGTATGACTGGTCGCCCTCCACAAACTATGATCACAAACCAGTGTAAGGCCTTGCAAAGTGCAATTGCTGAGGTTTTCCCGCGAGCTCACCATAGAATTTGTCTATCGCAAGTCATGCAGAGCATTCTTGGGTGTTTTGTGCAGTTTCAGGAGTACGAGGCATTTCAAATTGAACTTACTAAAGTCATATATGACTCTAAAACAGTAGACGAGTTTGAAAGGGCTTGGGATGATCTAACCCAGCATTTTGGAATAAGAAATCACGAAAAGATCCTAACCTTGCATGAGGAACGAGAGCATTGGGCTCCAGTGTACTCCAAAGACACATTTTTTGCTGGAATATCTGATTATGAAAAGGGTGAGTCTGTGGTTCCCTTTTTCAAAGGTCATGTGCATCAACAAACTTCTTTGAAAGAATTTTTTGAGATTTATGAATTAGTTCAGCAGAAAAAACATAAAACCGAAGTTCTTGATGATCTTGAGTCATGCGATTTGAGCTCAATACTGAAGACAAGATGCTACTACGAGTTGCAAATCTCTAAATTGTACACAAATGCTGTATTTAGGAAGTTTCAAGATGAGGTGGTGATGATACCCTCTTGTTTCAGCATCACGCAGACTCAAACTAGTGGCTCTATGGTGACGTACATGGTAAAAGAACGAGAAGTGGAAGACCCTGCAACAGATGCTAGGCATTTTGAAGTCATGTATGATAAAGCTGGAACAGAAGTGCGCTGCATTTGTAGTTGCTTTAATTTCAAGGGCTACCTCTGCAGACATGCCTTGTATATCCTTAATTACAATGGTGTGGAGGAAATTCCATGTCAATACATTTTGTCAAGATGGAGGAAAGATTTTAAGCGTTTGTATGTACCTCATCTTAGTGCTGATAATGTTGATATTAGCAACCCAGTTCAGTGTTTTGATCATTTGTACAAACGTGCCATGCGAGTTGTTGAAGAGGGGATGATGTCCCAAGATCATTATATGGTTTCTTGGCAAGCATTTAAAGAATCTCTGAATAAGATTCGCCTTGTAGCAGACAAGATTGAATAAACAAATCAAAGAATAATGCTAATAATATGTTGTGCATAATTTATTATTCATTTCTTCCTGAAAGCACAGAATGCATTCTTTTTCTGCCAAGCAGATCGTTTGTTTCAACTTTTTGTCATGCAAAGGGGAAGAATTTGTCATTCCATGGTGTTCTTTTTTCCTTAAGTCAAGTTTATTTGTTTCATTGGGTCAAACACTAATGAACGTTCACAAAAACCTACAAATAACACAGCCATTAATTTGATACCCGTAAAGTTCAAATATTTTCTTGTCATCGTCATCGGAAGTTTATAATGGTTCTCTTAAAATGGTTGGATTCAGAGACAATAAAAAAATTAAAAAAAGTAGTGACTTACTCTTTTTTATGGGAGTTTTAATTATTTTAGAGTGATTTGATGCATATGACAACTCACATAATTTTCCTTTTTCATAGAATTACATATAAAAAAAAAGTTTACAAGAAGTCCTGTTCCACTGTATGAACTATATTTTCTTTACATTACTCAAATAAATTAATCTAGTTCATATTCATTTGATTAATTTATATTATTTTCTCAATCAATTATTTTTTAATTTTAGATTTTTTTTAATTTTTCTTATACTTTTACTGATTTGATATTTTTATGATCATGTTTACTGCTACTAAGTGTTTAATTTGATTTTACTTTTTATATATATTAAGTAAATAAATAAATTATACATATATATATATATATATATATATATATTCAGTATTTTTAATTAATTTACATTTTAAATCACATACTCTCTCCTCTTGAGTCAATAATAATAATAATAATAATATTATTATTATTATTATTATTAAATAAATAAATAACGAAAGGGAGCTCAAGTACTAGAGTTGACAGAGATTGAAAATTTTGATTCAGTGAAAGTCTTCTCTCGTTGTTCCCGAACCGACCATGTCTCATGTAAGTTTCTGTCTTTCTCTCTTCTTTTCGACATTTCAATTTCATTCTTTTGCCGTCATCCACTTCGCACCAATCCAGATCTGTTTTGCCCCATTTCTCTGTGGCTGTTACTCGGATCAGATTCATATATTATACCTAATTTACGATTTTACATGCATGCATGTCTTCCCTTCATTGCATTACAGTCATAATTGAATTATGTCATCTAATTCGTGTAACTATTTATGTATGTGGTAGTTTTGTCATCTGAATTTGGTTACGAAAATGAAATCACTCTTGGCTTATTTGCGGATCACACTACTCTGATTTGACCAAACACTAGGCTGCAATTGAACTGTGATGACTTTTGTGTGTTTTAGGTATTGATTATTCTGGGATTGATGGAACCTGATTTTAATTCACTTAGTTCTATGAAAATTGAAATAATTTTAAGCTAGATGAAATGCTGAGATTTTGAAACGTTTTCAGAAGGTCCCTTTGAGGAATTTTCTGATCCTCTTCCCTGTGTTTTTCTTAGGAGACATGCCCTTCTGTGAAGAACATCCTTTTGTTGGATTCTGATGGGAAACGTGTTGCTGTCAAATACTTCTCTGAAGACTGGCCAACGAATAGTGCCAAGGAAAATTTTGAGAAAGTTGTGTTTACCAAGACTCAGAAGACCAATGCTCGCACGGAAGGTCCATAATTTTCTGTGATATAAGAACATGATGAATGACCCTGCCATGATTTATCGATGAAACTTTGTCTGTGTTTGGTTTATTTGGCAGCGGAAATAGCAATGTTTGAGAACAACATCGTTGTTTACAAGTTTGTCCAAGATCTTCACTTCTTTGTCACCGGTGGTGATTATGAAAACGAGCTTATCTTAGCTACAGTTCTTCAGGCTTTTTTCGATTCTGTGGGGCTCCTGCTCAGGTTGTTGTCTTAAGTGAACTATTTATCTATGCGTCGTAGTCAAGGGTGTTTTCTATCTATCACTATTAAGTATTAGCACGGTAGTCCTTTGATGATTTTATTCTGCCTTTCTCCCTCCAGAGGCAATGTGGACAAGAAGGAAGCACTTGAGAACTTGGATCTCATTCTGTTGTGCATTGATGAAATTGCTGATGGCGGGTATGCTATATACTATTCATATAACATTACATTCTTTAGTTGTTTGTTTGTTAGCTTCTCCATGACTTCTCTTGCTCTTCCCACTTCTTCCAACATGCAAACTGTAGCAGCTATTTGATACATCAGAGATTCTTTTAATGCGGTTAAATTATTAGAATTGTAAATTTTCACCATGAAAGCAAAAGAAACTTCTTTGAACTGTTATTCTGCTAGGAAGGAACTTGAATACCAGAGTTGGGGCTTTCTAAGTTCATCATGATACTCTTGAATTCAAATTTCTAAACATTCAAATGTTCAAGTAGTAAACTGGCTTGCATCAATTTTCGATAGCTCAGGAGCGTGATCAATGAGACAATAAATGTCACTTTGACAAGATCTATACAGTTCAACAGCAAGGGTGGAATTTGTATACATATGACATTTCCGCTGAGTTGTTCTCAGGATGACATCTATTTTTAAGTTCTTTTCATTTTTAAGCCAACCACATGCCCTCGGTAAGATATATGTTTTTTCCCCTGCTAAACAAAAAGATGACACATTTTGAATGAAGTGGTAGGTTCTTTGGATGTTTTGGATAAAAGTTCCAGCAAGCCATGCATTTTCAGAGATCATGACTTAACCTTAAAAGACTTCACTTGACTTGGTTATAAGTTAATTGTGTTGCTACTCCTTAAATGTTTTACCCCCTGGTTTTCCGTGGGAAAATGTACAGTACACGTATAGTTGTAGTACCTTGATGCTTTAGCTGCCTTTGTGATTTCGGAGGTCCCTTGGTACTGTTTTGGAATACTAATGGTATCAGATCTTAAATCACATTTATCTTGAAAATGGCACACCCCTCTAAGCTTCCGCCTCATTTTCACCTCTGCACTTCTCTCCTTATTATATCTGCTCTACCTTTTTCTTGGCTCCACCCGTGTGTCACATAAATTTCATGTCGTCACATTTTGTGCAGTATCATTCTTGAAACTGATCCCAATGTTATAGCTGGGAAAGTTGCTAGCAATAGTATAGATTCTGGTGCTCCTTTGTCTGAACAGGTACGTTACATCCTTCACTTTAATACCAAAAATGAAAATTGACATTAAATTCACTAATCTGAGGAATGTGTGTATTTCTTTGCATTGCAGACACTAAGTCAAGCATTGGCCACAGCCAGGGAACATCTTGCAAGGTCCCTTCTTAAATGATTCATATGGCATTTTACAAAGGAGGAATTTGTCTTTTTGACTTTTCCTACAAACATTTATAAGAACATCATTCCATTATCCAACAATCGAACCTTGAAGATAATGTTACTTGACATGAGAATACAGGATATTTTGGCACTATTCTTGTGTCGATTTGTTTATATAGTTCCCATTAAAATTTAAGGATAAAGGCGTGCTGCGTATCTTTTAAGTTTCACAAAAAATTATTTTAGTACATATTTATTCTAAATTTCTTACTTTAGCACAAAAGCTTACAACTTTGCGTCAGAAATTGATTGTTTATATTAAGTTCATATTGCAAACGTCACTTGCCATGTTAAATAATTTTCGGGAAAAAGAGAAATACAAACACCTGATGCTCACCCACAAAATTAACGAGAGTTGAAATTAATGAACGGAAAAGGTTAGAACACGAGTCAGGTTGACTAAACTTCTCTAAATGTTTATAGTGGAATAAGTGTAAAAAGGATAAGTTCTATAAATAAAACCGTTTTTGAGAGATAAAAATAATTTAATGATCTTAAATTTCTCAGGAAATTTTTTATATAACTTGTCAATGAATTATGTTACAAAAAAAATGAATTATGTTACAAAAAAAAATGAATTATGTTACAGAAAAAAAAATACTTAGTAGTATTATAAAAGCTCTCTTTAAGTTAGAAACCAATTCAAACCGGGCGATATATAATCCAAAAATTCTATCTCCTGTCTTATTAGTATTACACTTCGAAATACAAACGAGTCTGTATAGAGCCTGATTGAGGTAACAACTACCAATTGTTCCTTCAACGTAATTCTACTTGAAGAAATATAGGTAGTAAAAAGTTACAAATTCCACTTCAACGTAGTAAAACTATAAATTTTATAGTCTCGCTAGAATCACATCTTTCACTTTGATATTTATAGAGAAATTCCTCTATATGTACATTAAATTGACACCCGTCTGCAAATTCAGGTAAACTAAAGATGACGTGCGAGGTGTACAAATATTCAATTCATATAAACTTCTAATACACTAATTGAAGAACTCAGATCAAAGGCTACAAGAATTTTGGCTTTGTTGAGACTTTGAGACCTACCAATGGCAGGCAACGGTTGAGGATTCCTTCACACACACCAAAGCATGAGAATAAGCAAATTCATGCTTTAACTTCAAACTTGAAACAGCCTTAACACTAAAAGTGATTGATGTTGAGCAATCTTTTGGACAATTATAGTATTAGTATCTCTATTGTATGACAAGATAATCCGCACCACTACGGAAAGCATCACCAGCTGTAGGGGGTAAGTTTTTGGGAGAAATGTTTTTCCTGACTTGGGCGTGAGTCTCTGCTTCATGCTGAAACATCTTCACCAATTCTTGCAGCTCGAGCTTCCTAACTTCAACCTGTTCTTCAGCAACGGGGGTTTTCAGCCCAAGGTAAACCATGCCAACTGCAATCAGCACTACTCCAAGGAAGACAAGGATGGCCGTAAAAACACCAAATGCATATGGTGTATTTTCTGCCCCAGGTATCCCATCAACGTTGATCCCAAATAACCCAGTAACGATGGTGAGTACAACACCAACACCACCAAATACAGCTAAATTATGGGTTACCCGAAGGCTTTTATCCTGGATAGGTATTCAGCAGATGCAAGATAATTGTCATGTAAATCTAGGGTGAGCAAAATAAAGTTGTTCTAGCTACTGTCTGAAAGTAAGGAAAGTGTTCTAAATGAAGGTTCTGAAGCATTGATACCTGTAACCAAGCTCGAACAGTGCTCTGCATGACATCTTGAATGGTAAACAGACGGCCGCGAACTGCTTCTTGCTCCTCGATCATTTCTCTTGTGCTCTTTTTTATTCCCTCTAGCAGGTTTCTTGCTCCATTTCCTTTTAGATGTTGGAGAAGCTCAAAGACAATCTCTTCTCTTGCATGGAGAGACCACTTCACTCTGATAACCTGCAATGAAACACAAATGTTGTAAAAAGTTTCTGTGTAATGATTTGACCATTATGAATTGCTTCTAGGAAAATAAATCAATATAATTAAAAGAGTCCAGCAGCATTAGGCCAATGTTGAGCTTAATTGATTTCTGGATTAAGTACATCTGGTTAATTAACAAGCCAACACTAAATCAAACAACTTACTTTCAAGCATGTTTGATTCAAATTATCCCTCAGAATTTGAATCTCTTCCAAAACAATTGTTAATGGTTCTGCTAATGAGTGCCCAAAGGGCACAGATAAAGAAATCAGTAAGTAGAATTTTATTTTTTTTTAAGAAATCACCGTAAGATTGTATTGAAATCATCAATGGGGGAGGGGGTATTTGTCAAACATTTTCCCATGAAAACTTACCACTTTTAATTCCGTAGTTAGAAAAATAGAAAGACCTAGGAAATAATGTATATGATGAAGTATATTACTCGTAATCAATATTGAGAAATATAAATAAACCCTAGCGTTGTCTAGTTTAAGCATACAGTTCCTGTATAATCTAACATTAAGTACTATTTTATTGGTTAAGTGAACTACTAAACCTGCAACGGCAACATCAACCTTTGAACTACAACCGATTGAAAATCTTAACCATCGTTTAGTCTCCTATTACTGAGTGAAATAATAATTAAACAAATATGCATTTCCATCCTAATCATGAAATCAGCACCTTGTCTATGGATGTATCTTTAGGACATACCTGTGTTGATAACTTTCTGATTTCTTGATTTAAGATTAAGATGAAAAGATTCAAATCTTCATGGTTTCTCCTAGTAAAAGACAAAACTAACAACTTAGTGCAAGACAGTTTATAGGACAAGAATGAAATGACTTGAATTCACACACATTGCACATTTAAAAACCTGTTCATAAACTTCAATTCAATCTCATCTGCCGCCCCAAATATAGATTTACGGAATAACCTGAAAAACTAAAACAAATGTCAAACCAAAGTAACATGACTTCAAGTTTACATAAAGTTGGAAAAAAGAGTGTGCTGGAACATCAATGCAAGCATGAGGTACATTGTCCATCTTTAGGACATTCCTAAGGAACAATATGCCCGGTACAATAAAGTAGGAGGTGGTAAAAGTCAACAAATCTAAAGTACAAAATTTAATAGCGAAATGCAACAAAACCTAACCTGGCAATCCACATTTTACTATCTTTTGTGGATAACAGTCAGAACTAATAGACAACACAGTATATTCCTTTTTTATGTTCCATAAACAGTAACTCTCTTTTTTCATATCCTTGATTGCTTCTCTTTTAGAATATGTAATAATATTTACAAACTTAAGTCACCCTCAAACATCTGAAGTTATGTTACTAGAAGCAAGACCTAACCTACTTCTGACTGATTTTTCATTTTTTTCTTGTTTTCCAGAATTAGGAAATACTTTTAGACGCATCCATAGTTCCAGGTAACTTAAAAAATAAAGAATCAATAACATGGAGAGTTAGGTGAGTTCCAGAATAAAGATCAGCGTACTTCCAGATTTTGTCCACCCAGTTCCCAACCGAAAACAAGATTAACTAAATGCATAAATATGATTATTAATCTTATAAATGGTTAAAAGTAAATACATATGACTATATAATTATGATATATGGTTGATATCAACCATTAGTGAGGAAAAATTAACCACTATTAAACATTTTATGACTCTATTAATCATTTGCGAGACAAAGATAGCCATGATTAGATATTTCAATAGATTCATGACAATAATAACCATATTCATAATTGCATATAATCACATTCCTTCCCTCTTAAATCATAGCCACTTATCCGATGAAACTATCATTTTTACACAAGTGGGTAACGGCAGGTGAGAGTCAAGAACCGCACGATACTATTAACCAACTTCTGAGGCAAAGTTAATCACTATCAGATATTTCAAATAACCTCATGAAACTTTTAACCACATATAAAAGATTGTTTATAATTACATTCATTATCTTAATCATATGTAATTAATTATGTATGTCGGGTGGATACCGAGTGTAAAATATAAGTGGGACGAGTATCAGTACTAATAAGTTTAGGAGTCATGTTGAGTTAAAGTACAGGTGGTTTTCAGCATGAGAACCATATCAAAACTCTCCGATTTTTTGGATTGAAAGCTTGTCCTTAGTATTGTATCCTCTTCTGACCGTTGTATTGATTGAAATTCACTACAAGCAATTAATTTGAAAATTTCTTACCACGGAATCTTGGGCCCTCTAGAAATTCATCTAAGCTGGTGAGTATTTTCAATTGTCCATTTTCCTATTCATTTCATACCTATTTCTCTATTTCCTATTTTGTTTTTTTCCTCTTTAGTGCATTTTCTTTTCCTATTGATACACATCAAATCAAATTTGGACCATCCAAAATGCAAGGAAACCATTATATTAAATTCAGAAAAAAAAAACGTCATCACAATGCACAAGCCTACATGCTACAAATTGTTTATAGAGGAGAAAGGGAAACATGAACGCATGCAATGATGGCATATATGAGCTAGAAACTATTTACAAAGGAGAAAGGCAAAACATGAGTGCATGACATGATGGCAAATATGAACCACTTCATTTTTTTCTCAAGTGCGGTATGTGGTAAGAAAATATTTGCAAACTAACAAGAACAAAAGATCTTTCTAATCTCCTTTAAAATACAAACAGAAAAACTTATTTAACAAAGTTTATACTTAAGAATAGAAAGTAGAAAAAAATATTGAGACATGAGACTGGCATGTATATGTAAAGCTTCAAGAGTTAGTTGATCAAACCCTGACCGGAAATAGAAGCAGAGCCTGCAAGGTATTGCAGAATACACGTCTGTAATACATTTCTCTTCTTTCTTAATACAGATTGCCATTTTCTTTTTATTTGTTTCTAACATATTGTTTCATGCGAGCTTTACCAGCTTCAAATACGAAGGAAAACCCGTTTTTCACTAGTAAAAAAAAAATACAAATAACAATGCTGTCATTACCTATCATCCCATCGAGAGAGGCGGCAAGCAAGATGTGCTATAACTTCATGCACTGTTCTCGGCACATTATACCCTCCAGCTGAGAGAAGCTCCTGCCATAGTGGGTCACTGAATGAATTACAGCTTTCAAAAATAATATTAATGTGTAAATAGAGG